TTTTGAGGGGGGGGGGGGGGGGGGGGAAGAAGTTTGAGTCCCATGTTCTTCAAGCACTTTTAGTAGTGATGGCTAGACTTAACTTTGTACTTACAGCCTGAACTAATGTAGGTCTGGAAGCCAATGAGAGATTAAAGATATAGACCCCAAATTGTCATTTTATGTAGTCACTTTTCAGAGTGGGACCATATTTCAAAGAAATATTAATGTAGCTCTCACTATTAATAATTATTAGATTAAAATTATATTTCTGGTGTTAATGCAAAACTCTTAATTGTCCATCAAACTGAGAAACTTGCTTTTGCCCTCTTTGATTAATCTTGAGATGGGGAATTTTAACATATACTAAAATATACTCTGCAAATTCAAAACAAAATCCCAGAAAGCTTAAATAATACAGCACTTTTTTTTCTAAGTCTTTTTTTAATTACCATAAATGTTCCACATAGTTATTTTGAATATTTAGTTTAATTTCTGTGTTTGATTTTTAGTAACAAATATCCTATATATTTCAAAAGTGCATATGGGAGAATCTATCCAGTTTTTATTTGGATTTTTGTTTAAATTCATTGATTTTTATTTATTAATAATAACATCCATCTAAAAGTAAGGTTTGGGAAATCTGTTTCAGCGTTGTTTGTAACGGATAAATGAATTGGGTGTCTGGCTGATTCATTTCAGTGCTATGTAAGACAGACAGGCAGTTAACATCCAGACAAGTGAACCACTTCAGTTGCTTTTTTTAATGTTGGATCAAATCAATCCTGGTAGTGTAAACATAACTTTATGACTTAAGAGAGAAAATAAGCATCATGGGAGAGAAACTCTTATGGCAAAATCCTTCTTCCCCACAAGCAATGTTAATAGTAATAAAACAAGGACTGACTTTAAAATGTGGTTGGATCAGCAGGGATTTCCCTAATTAAAGTGTATTTTACATGTGTTATCTTTGAGGTAAAATGGGATGGGATGGTGTAGTAAGCTGCATATCTTGAGGAAGGGACTGCAGCCGGCTGCAGGCAGGCAGTGTGTGCTTACAAGCCTGTCTTGAAGGACTGGGCACAGCTGATAAAGATAATTATATCTGGCCCTGTGAGAGTTGAAAGGCTTCTAGGGTCCCAAGAGAGAAAGAAGAACAACTGAGAGGGAGAGAGTAGGTAGGCCAGCTCCCAGACAAGCCCCAAGCACCACACCACTGTTGACTCTCCCAGGGTCTGCGGCCAGGACAAGGGTGAAGGACTGAGTATGCTGGAGTTAAAGTGACAGAGTAAAGAGTGCAGGCTAGTGGGTGCAACACCAAGCCCAGGCACTCTCTTCGGGTCTGGGACAAGGCCATAGGGTGAGAGAACACTTATTGTTTGTATTGATTCCTGTGGGGAGCGAGGTAGCCCTGGAGAAAAACCTAGACTGTTTGAATGAACTATCCTCAGCCACTACAGATAAATTGTGAGATCAGGAATTAGAGGTGGGGAAAAACGGAATGGGTTTCACTTCCCTATCCCTACCAGCACTGCATTGTTATTTGTATAACACTTTCTAGTTGTTGAATGGTTTATATTCAAGCAGTACTTCTGTTTCCATACTGTTATTTGACAAACTTTTTTTCTTTACAGCCACAACTTGTGATGGAAAATTTGTGTTAACTGGCTCTTCTGGGTATTTCAACTCTCTTAATTATCCAAAGCCCTATAATTCAAATATTATTTGCCGATGGATTATACGGTAAGCAGCTTCATCGTGTTTTGTTACCTGCGTTCTCTTTTTGAGAGGCATGGTGATTTCCCATTTATTCCTTTATTATACTTCCAGTTATTATATCCTGCAAAGTATACAGTAAATTAAAACAAGGCACCATTTCACCACTAAATTGCTATGCTAGTCTATAGCATGATGTGGTCTTTCATAAAAGTATTTCTTGAAATATTACCTTCAAAATAGTTATTTTAAGACTGACATTATCATTGGTAACAGGTGGAATTTTCAGAAAATACCAACATGATTTAGGTGAACACATCTCATTTGGAAAGAAATGGGTTTTGTGCTTCTAAGTCATTTGGGGCCATATTTTTAAACCTATTTGGGCATCAAACATCAATTGAAATCAATGGAGTTAGGTGCCTGAATACCTTTAAAAATATGGGTGTTAACTTGTCTTGGAAATCTTATCATCTTTTCACCATCTGGCTCATTCAGAAGTAGTGCTTTGAGGAAAGGCAGTGATTCAGTTATGGCTTTGTAAAAGATAGTATACTGATTTCCCCTTTGAGAATTCTTAAGTTGGGGTAAGACTTTTCAAAATAGAGCAAGGAAATTGACCACCCAAGTCCTGCTTAAACTCAGTGCCACTTAGCTCCTAATTCCCATAGGCTTCTTTAAAATTCCAAGCCTTTGAGAGTGCTGTAGTAAGTCAGGTACTCCATTTCCCCTTTTGTCTTAAATCAGTAGTAATGAATTTAAGCCTTTTGATTTCCTTTTGATGTACGCAGTCCTTCCTCTCATGAGTGAGGGTTGGTGCTTTGAGGTGCCCTTCCAAATCCTGTCCGTCTGTTATACACTTAACTGTTTTTGTTAGTTTTGCATATAACTATTTAGTCCCTTGTCCTCCCCACGAAGTATAAAAGTCAAACTCCATCCATGTTTTTGTGCGGGCCCTCTCCCGATCCCACCTGGGTCGCCATGTGCGAGTTCTCTCCCGATCCCATCCTCGTCGCCATGTGCGAGTCGGGCCCATCTTTGCGCACGCGGGCTGTGGCCAGCAGCCCGGGCACGCGGGGTCGGAGGGGACCGGTGGCGAGCTAGAATTGGTCACGGACGCGTAATGGTTGATTTAAAGATTGTTTACTTACACCAAAGATGGTTGTGGTGTAGGCTGGACAGTTTCCAGGTTCAGCTCCGCTTAAATCCTCGTTAGAGGACTACAACAATTCGTTCTTTGCCCCAGAGTTATTGAAGCTCCGCGGGTTCGGTAGTTTCTAGTACAGGAAGGGATACGTCTAGGAATTTATCGGCAACAGGGAGAGGCTAGAGGCTGTTCATTCTTTTCCTCAGAGTTGTTGAAGCTCCGCGGGTTCGGTTATCAGGCCTCTCTTGCCTTTTAAGAAAAGCATTGGGTCCGTAAGGATCCGCAGCGCTTGGAGATCTTCACGCTCTCCCTCTCGAACTCCAATTGCTCTCTCTCCAACTTGGGCGGAAACCACCCAAGCTCTTTATACAGCTAGCAAGCCAATCGCTAGCCGCCATGTGTGCGTGTATTGGAATCGGCCAATAATGTGGCACGAATTAGAATACAAATGGTGGGAACTCTTTGCACCGAGCATTTCTTAGATGCAAAAGAAGTGCACCATGCAAAGAAAGCTACAAATTTGGCAGGAATACTCCGTTGCACCGGGGTTCTCCTCTGCAGCAGAAAACTCCACCATGCAAAGAAAGCTGCAATTTAGCGGGAAAATAATTTAGCAGTGCCAAAGCGCGCACAAACAAAAAATCACAACTTTGGGTTGTGACGGTTTTCTATTAAACTACCCTATTTAAATACATAAGACAAGCATGGCCCACTTATCTATGAAAGATGTAATGACCCAAAGGTCTCCCTATCAAAGTCAGCATGGTCTATCTACAGGAAGGGACTGTTCTCACAAACCTCAATGCAGGCCTGGAGTAAGATACTCCCCATGTAAATACTTCATGAAATATTACCTTCCTGACATTTTACCTGTAAATTTATATGAATTTAAAAATCAACAAATCAAATTAGTTTGATTACTTTTTCCTTTATGCTAGGATTATTTTGCAAAGTGAATGAACAGAGTATCACAGATGAAATGAAAATGTAAGTAATTGTCCTGGTATCTTATGGTTTACCTTGGAATGCCACAATTTAGGGAACAGTCAAAATATAGACTTCTTAATGTTCATGCTTTATTTCCAACAATGCCTTAATGATGCAAGAAATTTTTGTAGCTGCATGTTGCTAAACTAGTAAAATAACCTTCTAGTTTTATTCTCCAGTACTCTGGCTTAAAAAAAAAAAAAAAAATGAGAGCCTGAAAAGATCGGTTGGGTGCCTCCTAACCCAGATGCTGTTTTTCTTTAGGACACAATTGTTTCTTTAGGGAATCTTTTGAATTTTCCACTCACCATTGGGATTCATGTTGTTATTCATTTTTAAATCCTTTTTTAGAAACCTTTAAAAAATCAACTTGCAGTACAACCAAGGTTGATCTTTGTCTATCCTCTTCTTTACCAAATAACCAGAAAACCCTACTGTGAGCCTTTGAGAGAAGATTTTACATTTTCTCTTTTCTTTCCCAACCAAAGATGTAATTTCATAATAAAAAACAAAATAAAAGAAAAGCACAACAGAAACTTGATTGCAATTGTGTAGCCAATTTTTCCCCACTTACTTCTCACAATTTTCTTCTTGGCCTTTTCATTTTCATATATGATTTTTCATGATTCAATCTACACAAAGATACAAAAGAAAACTAAAAAGAATTACAAGATGCATAAATACCTGTTTTATACTTCTGTCCTTAAGGTTTCTGGCATTCTGGCAAGAATGCTGTCATTAAAACTACATTTGGACTTTTCTTGGGAATTGCAGTGTCGGAGAACTATGAATTTGGGGTGGTCTGAGAAAATTAGTTCACTTGGACTGTGGATTTTTGAAGTTGTAAAATGTTTAATTTTAGAAGGGTATTGAGAGGACCATTTAAAAATATAATACAGGGTATGAGATTGGGAAAGTAGGGAGGCATCTTTGGCTTACATTTGAGAATTTCCTTCATTATTAAAACTACTCAAGAAAGGTTATAGGCAAGGAAAAGATTATAGCCAGCCAATTGATTGGACAAACTACAGGGTACCTACACAGCATGCATCCAAAATGTGTTTAGCACACCTTGGAGCAAAATTGATAAATTGAGTGTGCTGGAGCATGTTAATTAACTTTCTTCATCAGCTTCCATTTCATGTCTACTTAGTGTCCCCATACTTCAGAATGGCAGAGGGGACACTTGAACTAAAGCTCATCCAATGAGCTTTAGTTTAAGTGCCCCCTCTGCCATTCTAAAGTGTGGGACATTGAATACACATGATGCTGTGGACACTTTAATTGGAGCAGCTCTCATAGCCACTCTAAAGTGCTCCCCTCCCCGCCCCACCCCCACTCTGAGGCACATGTATAGATACTCACATTTTATAAGCTTCAATTTGTTTTTGGCACAAGAAGATGTGTTGTGGATATATGAGGCAAATTTTGATAGTTTTACTCATGACATTCTGCAAATAATTCCATTTGACTTAAAAGAGGCTACTTTACATGGTAAAGTAATCCTTATAATGAGCACTGTTTCTAAAAGTTTTGTGTAAATTAATGAGCAGTTTCTGGAGAACTGCCTAGCTGAATTTCTTATTCAAAATTATGCGAAGGTTCAAGCCCTGAAAGACATATTATGCATACATAACAGTTTCTCTAGAGTTTTTACTCTTACTCTTACACAGGGTTCATGCTCTTTCTCTTTTGCCATTGTGTGAAATGTAAAGCTTAATCTAAAATAAGTAAACAAATCAGTAATTAATTCATAGATTCAAGGGTCGGAGGGGACCTCAGTAGGCCATCTATTCCAACCCCCTGCCCCTGGCAGGCAAGAAAAGGGTCACCAAATCTGTGATCATGTGAACCCAGCCAGGAGCCTGTCCAGTCTCCTCTTGAAGACCCCCCCCCCGCCAAGGACGGGGCAAGCACTACATCCCTTGGAAGCACGTTCCAGATCCTGGTACCCCTGGCTGTGAAGAACTTTTTTTCTTATGTCCAGTCTAAACCTACTCTCCAGTGGCTTATGGCCATTGTTCCAGGGAGTGCCCTGGTAAACAGATCATCACCTACTTCGTGTTGCTCTCCCCTTATGAATTTTTAAGCCGCCACAAGGTCCCCTCTCAGCCTTCTCTTGGAGAGGCTGAAAAGATTAAGGTTCCTTAGCCTTTCCTCATAGGGCCTTCCCCGAAGGCCTCCAATCAGATGAGTGGTTCTTCTTTGGACCCTCCCCAGGTTGTCTGCATTTCGCTTGAACTGCCGCATCCAGAACTGGACACAGTACTCCAGCTGCGGCCTGACCAGTGCCGTGTAGAGAGGGAGAATCGCCTCCCTGGACCTGTTTGTGAAGCATCTACGGATGCACGACAAGGTGCGATTTGCTCTGCCGACTGCTTCATCACATCGATGACTTATGTTCATCCTGGAGTCAACTGTGACTCCAAGATCTCTTTCTGCCTCAGTGGTGCTGAGAAGGTTGCCCCCCAACCTATAGGTATGATGGCAGGTTTTTTTTTTCTACCTAGATGCAGCACCTTGCACTTGTCCTTATTGAATTGCATCCTGTCGCTCTTTGCCCACTTCCCCAACCTGTCGAGGTCAGCCTGGATCTGGTTCCTCCTCTCCAGGGTGTTGGCTTCACCCAATATTTTTGTGTCATCTGCGAATTTGGACAGGGTGCTTCCCACCCCCTCGTCCAGATCACTGATGAAGATCTTGGACAGCACCAGTCCCAGAACAGACCCCTGAGGGACTCCAGTGCACACATCTTTCCAGGCTGACACTGGCCCATTCCCCACTACCCTCTGAGTACAACCCCTGAGCCAGCTTGCTACTCAGTCCACCGTATAATCATCCAAGGCATATCTCCTCAGTTTATTAATACATTTAATGCAGTTACCATATAATTTCTGAATGGTCTAGTAAATAACTATTGTATTTGTGGGTTTGATTTTTACTATATGTTCAGCAGTAATTTTCTTCATCTAATCTTTTTGTTTTCATTTTTTCTTTTTGACTATAATAGTGTGAATCAAGGGTTATCCATTAAACTAAACTTCACCTCTTTTGAAACGCAACAATTTGGAGATACCTTGAATATTTTTGAAGGGACAGGACAAAGCAAGATTTTAAGAGGTAATGTCTGAAAAATTTCTACCTGATCATATTTTGAAGTGAATAAGATCCATTCACACATTTGTCCAGCTATCTCTTAAATAATAATAATAAAAAAAAAAGTATTTATTATTCTAAACGACAAGCTAAGGAGATTTTATAGAGCATCTATGATAGAAAGATGTGTTTGACTTGTTTTAACATACCATTTAGCTGTGGCCCAATTGAGCTAGTAGATCAACTGTTGCATGCTAGCTAACGTTGTATTGTATTTAAAGATTCTGTCCACATTTCACCATAATAAATATAGTCAAGGCACTCCCATATTATGATGAAGGTTTCTGTGCAGATTTGGGGAGAAAAAAAAGATGGGGGATTTTTTTGAAAATTATATTCATCTTTATTTTTTGTGGGCAAAAGGCTATCCATACAACACATGTTGGCTGGAAGAGTATAGTAGGGATACATGGTACCCAAAAGGAAAATTGTCCCTAAGCAATATTATCCTACTTTGGAAATAAAAACAGTCCAAAAATGTGATCTTTGAAATATACTGGTTAATTTTGTGAAATTGGACAAAGATTATGTGCAGGCCGGGCGCAAGCCGGGCCATTTTTCGTGCTGCACGCGGGCTGTGGCCAGCAGCCTGGGTGCGCGGGGTCAGAGAGAGGGGCGCAACAAGCTAGAATTAGGCACAGACTTGTAGCAGTAGTTTTAAAGATTGTTTACTTACATCGAAGATGGTCGTGGTGTAGGCTGGAAAACTTGCTTGAGTTGCGGTTACAGACAAAGACAACACGGACGGTCACGTGGAGTTTTGCTAGGCTCCACGGAAACAGAGCTCCAGATGCTCTGGGTGAGCACGCCACCAAAATCGGACTCGTAGATGCATCTTATAAAATTTTGTCGCTCGAAGACGGGAAGAGGTGGGCGATGGATCAGGTCGCCAAGCTCCTCTGAATCTCACACAGGGGTCTTTACTTCCCTGCCATGTACCCAGAGTCCCCACGAGATGGATGTGGAGTCCTCTTTGGCTTGGGCGGAAACTGCTCAAGCCTCTT